CAGAAAATGCCTCAGTAGACAACAATAAATTCAAAGTATTAAGAAATGTTGCTTGCGCACATGAAACAGGCCTTAAGGGCTTTCAAGAAAATAATATCAATCACTGAGAAAATGGTATAAACATAAGAAATTATTAACTCCACCATGAATAGGCCTTCAGGGCACTCAATAAAATTATGTTGCACCAACAGATGCAAGCCTTAAGGGTTTTCAACAAAATGATATCAGTCACTGAGAAAATGGTATAAAATTTAAGAAATTATTAACTACACCATAAATAGGCCTTAAGGGCACTCAACAAAATTATATTACCCCCAACAGATGCACACCTCCTAACCTAACTTAAACACTACTCTGATGAACAAAGGTTATATTTGAGATTGAAATTAAAAAAAAAATAAATGCATTAAAGGAACTAAATCTCAGTATCACTTACAACAGAAAGGAGGAACCTCATCTGAAAAACAGTTCCCTCATTCTCTGGAATCCATTAGTGACACAATATTAAAAACAATAATATCAAAATTATTTAAGAAATATTAAACTACACACAGCAAGACAATATCAGTGACTGAAAAAATATGATAACTATTTTAAGAAGTTCCTGAGTCCACCAATACCCATAAAAACCTGCTCCCTAACCTAACACATAGATTCCACCTGCACCAGTAGTTATTTAAGGCACAACCAACAGGCACCTGTAGTTAAGTCACAACCAAGCCTTTCTCAACCTTGGAAAATGTACCTCTAAGTCCCACTAGACTCCTGGTCCCAGTGTGTGACCATTCATTCACTCAGCTGGCCTCATTTTACACTCAGTACATCCATGAAACGGATGGGAGTGAGCCAATCAGACCTTGTTCAGTTGAGAGAAGCTTTAGTTTCTCGTAGTAAAAGGTTTTCACTAACTGCTTGGAGATATGTGATATTATGAGCCGAGGTAGAAGAGATCTGGCGACCCCAGACGATTGTCAGTTGTGCACCCAGACAGCTGGTTTCACTGCAGAGATCCCTTGCTAACCCGGCTAACCAGTGACAAGCCTGCACTGATCGTTCCAACTGCGACAATCGCTAATCATCAATCATCAACGGCAGTCTCAAACGGCGGTCATCAATGGCAGTCATCACTCGCAGTCATCACTTGCAGTCATCACTCTCAGTCAAGTGGGTTCTGACGAAAACCCTGCAATGAACTCACTGTTAGCTATTGCTAATTTTATCACTGCCCTATATAAACCCTGTCTGAGATCGAATGAGACTTACTTGTTATACTGCAACACAGGTGACTAGACCACGTGACAGTTTTGTCCTGTCTGACGCACAGACCGTTCAAACGCTGTCATCTGACTGAGAAACAGCAAGGCTCGTGCTTTCCCAAGCCTAGGCCTATGTGACATATTTTCCGCCTAACTAATAACTTACTTGGGACACCCGTAGCATATTTAGACTGAGAAACGATCTATAAAAATTTCAAATTTAATAATGTCATTTAATTTTATGATTCGCGTCCGTATTAATTCAGTAAATTACATTTAATATCGTATAGGCCTCCCTCGGTTGACCTTGAAAACTCAGTATCGCCAATATGGCGCGCACATCTAACTCACACTGAAATTTCTGAATATTACAATCGACCTCCCTAAAAAAAGACAGCACTGTCCTCACGTGCTGAGAAAAAGTATGCAATGACCCCCCCCCCCCCAGAAGAGACTTGTTCTAGATAACTGCACCTCACACCTGCAACATGCCAAAGCAGCATTTCCGTCTTCTCTTCTCTCTTTCTCTCTCCCTCTAACACTCGACCCCCCCTAAAAGAAAACAGCATACGACCCCCCTAAAAGACTTGTTCTAAATACTGCACCTCACACCTGCAACGTGCTAAACGCACCATTTCCGTCTTCTCTTCTCTCCTTCTCTCTCCCGCTAACACTCGACCCCCCTAAAAGAAAACAGCGCTGTACTCATGTGCGGAGAGAACAACTAGAACCCACCTTCAAATCTGCATTATTCCAACCCGCAGTCAGCAACTCCATTTCTTGCCTAGTCCAAATTAAAACCAACCAGAACAAAACACTCCCTTTTTGCCTGGCCCTTGAGCTAGAGAACCAGTGTCAAAACAATACCCAATCCAAATCAAACATGCTCTCCTTTGGCTTGACCCTTGAACTAGAGAACCAATGTCAAAATTAATACCAAATCCACATCCTGCATACTCTCCTTTGGCCTGGCCCTTGAACTAAGAGAACCAGTGTCAAAACAATACTCAGTCCAAACAAACGCTCTCACGTCTTCAACGATCGACTCAATCCACGTCTCCGAACCTCATGCCGGCAGACCAACCCTCTGACAATGTACCAGTCTATATTAGTGAGGCCCTGGCCATTACAACCGTACTCTCAATCTCGCTCATGACAGCAACTCAATCCCGCTCATGACAGCAACTCAATCCCACTCATGACAGCAACTCAATCTTGCTCATGACAACAACCACTACTCAGCGCACACTTCTGACCTAACCATCTCTCCAATCCCCTCTGCCCTACTCACGACTCCACCTCACCCTTGACAACCTGCATTTTCTCATTACCCTGCACCTCTCTGAACTACTTCTCTTCTGCCACTCCACACCTTCCGCAGCTGGCTAGTAGTCCCGCGCTGTTTCTCCCCTGTCTGGCCAAAACCCTTGCTCCTGCACCAGCGACAGAGTGCGATCTCTCCCCTGATGCCCAAACTCATCGTGCCAGGCTCTAATCAAAGCCTCCTGCAAGTTTGGAGGTAACACTGGCACCTCCCTCCATAAATTCTTTCCTTCGGGTCTTCTATGCCAGGCATCTCTTGTCTTACGATCAGGGATTTCCTCGCTCGGTACATCTTGCGGAAGTCATCATTTTGGAGCTCTACCTGTACCTCGTCCTCCGGCAGCTCTCCCGCCAACCATCTTCGCATTTATGTAACATAGTTCATGCCTTCTTGCTCCTTACGCAGCCCATCTATCGTCCACAGTTCCTTCCTTCCTGCCCCGTTCTCCTCTACTACATGCATAGATGTATACTCTTCCTCACTATCTTCCTCCTGTTCCGTCGGGATTCTAGATAGAGTATCCGCGACAATGTTGTCTTTCCCCGGCTTGTACTCTATAGTAAAGATGAACTGCTCGAGATCCGCATTCCACCTACTTTCCACTAAACCTAGCTTAGCCTTCTCTCGGTGACTGAGTGGGTTGTTATCTGTATAGACCCTAAATTGTTTCCCCGCCAAATAATCCCTGAATTTATCTACAACAGCCCACTTGAGTGCTAACATCTCTAACTTACGAGAAATATAGTTGTTCATGTTACGATCTGATTTCCTCAGGCCCCGACTTGCATAGCACACCGGATGCAACCTGCCGTCCTTTCGTTGAGACAGCACTGCACCTAGCCCACTAAAACTTGCATCTGTCTCTAATATAAACTCCTGAGTGAAATCTGGGCAAGCCAACACCGGTGTCTGCGTCACCCTGTCTTTCAGTTTCTCAAAAGCCTGCTGCTGTTCCTCTCCCCACTCACTATCTACCCGATCTTTAGATTTTCCATGCATCAAAGCATGCAGTGGAGCAGCTATTGGGCAAACCCTTTAACAAATTTCCTATAAAATGATGTGAACCCTACAAAAAACCGCACATCTTTCACCGTCTGACGGACTGGCTAATCTCTTACTACCCTAATTTCCTCAGGATCAGCTGTAATGCCTTCAGCTGACACCTGATATCCTAAATAACTTACTTTGGAACCCATTATTTCACACTTTTTAGGTTTAAATCTTAGGTTATTCTCCCTCATCCTGCAAAATAATTCCCTCAATCTGACTATATGCTGATCTATTGTACTTGAAAACACCATCACATCATCAAGGTATACAAGCAACGAGGAGAAAACCTTATCCCCTAAAATCCGCTCCATGTATCTCTGAAAGGTTCCCTGACTATTTGACAATCCCATAGGCAGTCGCCTGTGCTCGAAGTGTCCGAAGCTTGTGCTGAAGGCAGTCTTTGGAAGATCTGAAGGTTTTACTTCTATCTGGTGATATCCCGCCGCCAGATCAAAAGTTGAGAAAAACTGGGCCCCCGTCAGAGATTCTAGAGTTTCATTAATCCTAAGCAGAGGAAACGCATCGCGTGCCGTGACCTTATTTAAGTTACGATAGTCAATGCACAACCTCAGCGTCCCGTCCTTTTCCCTCACTACTACAATGGCGGCAGAGTCCGGACTCTCACTAAGCTGGATTACTCCCTGATCTAACAGCTGGCTAATGTGCTGCTTCACCTCTGGTACCTGGTTTGGAGGGATCCTCTGGTATGGCACCGTAACTGGCCTATCTGTTGTCACTGGGATCTCATGCTGAACCCGAATAGCCTTTCCTATGGGCTGGCCCTCCCCTTCAAAAATATCACTAAACTCTTCTATTAAACCCCTAACTGCACGCTCTTGTTCCTCATTCATTTTCTCCGTGTGCACTTTGACCTCCGTACTGGCATCCGGTTGAACTGTCCTCACATACACCTCCTCACTGATGTCTGCCTCGACTTCCGTCCCAGAAGCCACTTTCCCAATCCGCCAATTGCCCCTCAATTTCCTATGACGATCAGACAGATTTGCCACAAACACCTGGGTCATGCCTCTCACCACTCTTACAGCTGTCGGCAACACTATCACACCCTCAGGCATCCAACTTTCATCCTCCATTGTTAGAGGTTCAATCACTGCTTCTTTGTTAGCTACCTGGCTTAATGAGGGAACACATACTGACAGCAACCGAGTACTCCGGGGAGGAATGGTTGGGCTTTTCCTCCTCTCCGTCGTACAATACCCCAGACTGATGGCCTCTATTGCACATAACTGCCTAACCTCCTGCAAGCAATTTTCCCACTGAGCGGTGCTTCTGGCTTCCCTGCACAAGTGATACATGTGCGGCCAGATCTCCGCAACCTCCCCCAGCACAGTCATCCCCAACAACCCAACATGCGATTGCCCCTCACCCTGAGTCTCAATCCATGGACAAACCAACAGCCCCACATTGGTAACTTCCACACCACATACGACCATAGAGACCCGGATACACCCCACACACGGCACTGAAGACCCCGACGCCCCTTTTACCCGTATAAGAGTGGGGTGCAACACCACGCCTGCAGGCTCCAGCTCCCGACCGTAGAAGTTTTCATCAATTAATGACACTTCTGCCCCACTATCTGCTAAACTCCACATTTCACAACCCGCTACCAGCACCGAAACCTTGGGACATTCTGCTTTCAGCCTCAAGGTACCTTCTGTCGTGATTAAATTTCTCACACGGACCACGCTTGACCATGGGTCCGCTCTCTCTTGGTTTGTAACATCGCCGGCGGAATCTATTGGTGAGGCCAGGAATGGTTGGCGGGGACAGCCTGGCCCTGACCGTTTCCCGACCGCCAGTTCTGATTATTATTTCCAACTCGATACTGGCCATTGGCCACGTATCCCCGTGGGACACTCTCTCCTGGTCTGGACCTGTTCGTGCAATTGAAACTGAGGTGGTCCTCTTGTCCACACGCATACCACTTCGGGAGAATCCAGCCCCCAGCCTGCATGCGGTCCGTTTTCTCTTCCCTTAGTCAGCGGTACCTCCCTCAGTTGACCTTGAAAACTCAGTATCGCCAATATGGCACGCGTATCTAATTCACACTGAAATGTCTGAATATTATATATATATATATATATATATATATATATATATATATATATATATATATATATATATATATATATATATATATCATAGCCAACTAGCATGCGGATTCTACATAATTTACTCTAATGGGACACCCATCACGAGGTGGTCAGAGTAACGTTTACCACCTAAGTGATACCACATGTTTCGTTCAACAGTGAAATATAACAGAGTCTAGGACTGCTAGTATCCTGGTGGTCAGACTGAATTCGAAACCTGGCGGGTTGACTTTTTATATATATATATATATATATATATATATATATATATATATATATATATATATATATATATATGAATAAACCACAAATATGTTGTGTATGTCAGGTAACACTCTTCCTATTAGACAGAATCCCTGGTTCCCGGAGCTCTCAAAGAGCCGGAATTTATTTTGAGCCGGAAAAAATCTAAGAAAACCATCTCCATTCTGGGCATGGGAATGCATTTTCTGGAAAACTTCCGAGAAAATCTCTCCATATCTCTCCGTTTTGGGCATTATATATTTTTTTTTCCAGGGGTTCAGAGAAATTGCATCATCCTCCTACTTGTCCCCACATGCCAGGCACAGAGGTCCAGGGTTCGATTCCCGACTAGTGAGGTATTGTTTGTATGTTTGTATATGGAAGTCAGCGTTGATATAGGAACAATTGTCTTATGTTCTGTTTTATGTTATTATGTATTGTAATAGTTTCCTTAAGTTAATTTCAGATATCTTGTGAAAGGAGTTGATTAAAGCTCGTTTAATGGGCAAACAAGTTTTACTTCATCCCACATCAATTTAATCAGCTCCTGTTCGTTGTAGTGATCAACCATCATGGAAAACCTACTTAGACCTGCAAGCCTGGATCTGGATCCAAACTTTCACACAGCTGTTAAAGATTGGAAATGCTAGTTTCGTATATTCACCAATTTCATGGCAGAGTGTGGTGAAAATGAACTTGATCAATTCTGAACTTTTATAAACATTGTTTCTTATAACGCGTTTGACTATATAGAGGAATGTACAACCTATGACACTGCCGTTGAATTACTTCAGAATGTTTATGTGAAAGCTCCAAATTAAATATTCGCTCGCCACCTACAAGTAAACAGACGACAACAACCTGGAGAATTTCTCGATAAATTCCTTCAAGAACTTCGAAAGCTCAGTAAGGACTGCAATCTGAAAGCTGTAGCCGCAGAACAATATCGTGAACAGTTGATCCGTGATTCCTTCATCAACGTTATTGCTTCTCCTCTTATACGGCAACGACTACTGGGAAACAAGACGCTTGATTTCCAAAGTGGATATAATCAGACATATACTCTGGACTTGGCTCAAAATAATTATGATGCTTATGCTTCCCCAATTGGACACACTGCTGCCATACCAGCCGCTGAGCCAACTCAAGAGGCTGATGTAATAGCTCAAGAAAAAATGCAGTAGCTGCAGCTTGCACACCCAAGAAAAAGTGCTATTTTTGTGGCGGTGTATTCCACAACCGAAAGGTTTGTCCTGCACGAGATACATCATGCGACAACTGCGGCAAGAAAGGGCATTTCGTAAAAATGTGTCAATCTAAAACAGCCACTAGTACCACAGCAACCATGTTCAAACCTGCTCTTCTAGCCATCACAGCTGCATTTCCCCAAAGTCTGTCACATGCAGCAACTGTGGTTTCCATCAAAGGGCAAAACTTGAATTCCTTGATTGATTCGTGTAGTTCTGACAGCTTTGTTGGTGAACAAGCTGCAAGAAAGCTAAATTTGAAGGTCTATCCAACCAAGAAGGATATCCCAATGGCATTGACAACGCTGAATACCACTTCTCTAGGTTTTTCTCTCGTAGATATGGTCATGCATATCCATCTACACGTCACGGGATTCACAAGGACTTATGTACTGATATAATTCTGGGACAGGTTTTCAAAAGCAGCATAAGAGTCTAACTATTCAACTTGGAGGATCAGAACCAGACCTTACTATCAGCAATCTAGCTCATTTTGCGCACTCTCAGCTGCTGCTATTGATGAATCTTCAATTTTTGCTAATCTCTCTCCAAAATGTAAGCCAATAGCAACTAAATCAAGGCACTTCAAAGATGATCAAGATTTGACCCAGAAAGAAACCTCTCAGCTGCTCTCAGAAGACATCATCGAACCAAGCTTATCACCCTGGCGCTCAAGTTGGTAACTGTTAAAGATCCTCTACAGCGTCACAAGAAGAGACGATGCATTGACTATTCTCAGACCATTAATTAGAACACTGAGCTAGATGCTTATCCATTACCTCGCATCAATGTTATTGTTAATGATCTTGCTAATTACAAGGTGTTTTCTACATTTAATCTAAAAAGTTCCCTTCATCAAGTGCCACTGAAGGAATCTGACAGGATGTATACTGCGTTTGAGGCAAATGGAAGACTGTACTAGTTTTGTCCTGATCCCATTTGGAGTAACAAACGGTGTTGCTGCATTCTGACGAGAAATTGACAAACTAGTTGCTGAAGAAAACTTGAAAGACACCTTTCCTTATCTTGATAATATAACCATTACAGGCCATGACCATAATGAGCATGATAATAATTTCCAAAAGTTCTTTGTCATTGTGAACCGTCGAAATTTAACTTTAAATGAATCCAAGTCCATAAGGTCTGATAAAATACTACCGCTGATAAATGATAAGTCTTTTCCATTAAAAGAATCAACCATATCAGCCTTCAAACTCATCAAAAACAACTGGAAAATACTACATTTCAATCCATAGATGGAAGCCTCCCATTTGTGGTTGAATGTGATGCTTCAGAAGAAATTATCTCTGCTGTACTGAACCAAAGAGGCCGACCTGTAACCTTTATGTCCAGGATCCTGCAAAGTAGTGAATTGCACTATTCTCCTGTTGAAAAGAGGCGTAAATGGAGTCATTTTCTAGTTCGACATCATTTTACTCTGATTACCGATCAGCGTTCAGTTGCCTTTATGCTTGATAACAGGAAGCGCACAAAAATCAAGAATAACAAAATACAAAAATGGAGAATGGAATTGGCATCATTCAGTTACACTATACAATACCGACCAGGCAAGGATGATGTTACCCCTTCTGCTGTTCTACTACATCAACATCAACTCTTACTGATATTCGTAATGGACTTTGTCATCCCGGGGTTACTCGTTTGCTACAGTTTGTAAGATCAAGAAATCTCCCCGTTTTTACTGAAGATGTAAAATAACTTGCTCAACTTGTAAGATCTTTGCAGATTTAAGCCACAATTCCATCGTCCAACGAATGGCACAACTCAGTATAGACTTTAAAGGACCACTTCCTTCCTCAACACGGAACACATTCATACTCAGGTTTTTTTTTTTTTACGGGGATTAGCCCAATTACGTCACTGACCCACATCAGGCCAAGGGGGGGGGGGTAATAATAATAATAATAATAATAATAATAATAATAATAATAATAATAATAATAATAATAATAATAATAATAATAATAATAATAATAATAATAATAATAATAATAATAATAGTAATAATAATAATGATAATAATAATAATAATAATAATAATAATAATAATATAATAATAATGATGATGATGATGATGATGATGATGATGATGATGATAATAATAATAACAATAATAATAATAATAGCAATAATAATAATAATATAATAATAATAATAATAATAATAATAATAATAATAATAATAATAATAGTATAATAATAATAATAATAATAATAAAATAATAATAATAATAAAAAAAAAAATAATAATAATAATAATAATAATAATAATAATAATAATAATGATAATAATAATAATAATAATAATAATAATAATAATAATAATAATAATAATAATAATAATAATAATAATAATAATAATAATAATAATAATAATAATAATAATAATAATAATAATAATAATAATAATAATAATAATAATAATAATAATAATAATAATAATAATAATAATAATAATATTTCAGATAAGTAAAATTTTTAATGAAAATAAAAAAAATACAAATAATAAAATAATAATGATAATAATAAAAAATAACAACACTGCAATATTATTAATAATAATAATAATAATAATAATAATAATAATAAAGAAATGCAAAAATGAAGAAAAGATCACGAGTGAGAAACAATTTATGTATGTTGTGTTGTCAATGGTAAGAGAAACAATTGAGACCCTGCAATTGTGTGCAAATGAGGCACAAAGTCAGATCAGCAACTTGGGACTTGGTCACAATTTTCGCGATGCCATATGGTAGCAGGGTGTAATAGGCCCCTGTCTCATCAACAGAACATATTATATAAATGGGTCAATACATCTGATATTATATTCAGATTCACCACCCTGTAACTTTCCACTGTCTATGAGTAAGACATGATATGGACACGTGAGCGGGCAACTCACCCAAGAGGGCGAGACCCATAGCTCAGCATTTCTGTAAGCACGCACTGCGATGCCCTTAAGCTTCAGTAGCTCACCTCAACTCATATTGTAAGGACGTGACCTAACGTTTATTATACATAAACGCCGTCCCCTTCTCATTCACTCCTAGACAGTGAGACGAACGGTTGATATACACTCAGGAATTATATATACAACCTTTTAGAATAAAACAAAGG